TTTCGCCATTCAGTGGCTGGCTGGATGGCGCAACGTCTACGATAGGGGTGCCCGGGTGTTGCACATGTGTCTTAATTTCATCTTGTCGGTATTATATACCATTCTTGTACTACTACTACTACTACTACTACCACCACCTCTTCCTGCCTATATATAGACGTCCTGCTCTACTTCTGGTTAGTGTGACTTTGTAAATGGTACAAGTCGGACCGAAACGTCGTCGTAAGCTTCTCTCTTTTATGTGTGGGTTATTTGTGTATCATTCCAGTCACGGTATTGGGCCTTTTTTTGTTATTTATTGATTTGTTAGGTTTTAGTTTCTCTATTTGTCTGAGGACCATGTCACTAGTTACCACAATCGTACATAGTTTATTATCATCCTGAAGAAAATAAATGGTATAAAATACCAACACAATGGAAACATAAACATATGCAGTTTAATGTGACCCTTTATTGACACTGTTTCGCCCACACAGTGGGCTTTTTCAAGTCACAAACAGATCCTCCCAGGTAGATCTGTTTGTGAGTTGACAACGTTTCGCCCACTGTGTGGGCGAAACGTTGTCAATAAAGGATCACATTAAACTGCATATGTGTTTATGTTTCCTTTATTATCATCCTGTTCTACGTAATCTATTATTTCAGGAATATCGCTAGTATTTTCCTGGGTGAAAACTGAGAGGAAGTAGGTATTGAGAATTTCACTCATACCCTTATCACTGTCAGTGATCTGACCAAAGTTACTCTTAAGTGGGCCAATCTTGTCCCTAATCTTACTTCTGTATACCTGAAAGAACCCTTTTGGGTTAGTCTTTGAATCCCTTGCGACCTTAGCCTCATAATCCCTTTTTGTTTTTCTTATTCCTTTCTTTATTTCTCTCTTTAATTGAATATATTGATTTCTTAACTGCCCATTCTCTCTTTTGATACGCCTATATATGCCTCTCTTTTGACCAATGAGATGTTTTTAATCTATTGTTCATCCATTTGGGATCATTTTTGTTAGATCTAATTTCCCTACTTGGAACAAAAGTTGTCTGGGCAGCTAGAACTATGCTATGAAAAACGTCATATTGGCAACCAAGATCACCTACCTGACCCATAGTCAGGACATCCCAATTTAGCCCACCCAGGTAATTTTTCAGTCCCATGAAGTCGGCCAAGCAAAAGTCTGGGACAGTGATTTGATTGCAGTTATCTGGGTAATTCCATGATATATTAAAACTAAGTGATTTGTGATCACTTTCCCCAAGCTCATCATTAACCTCAAGATTATTAATTAGTGAATCTTTGTTGGCAATACCAAGTCAAGCAGATTGTTTCCTCTAGTTGGTTCTGTCACAACCTGTTCTAAAAAGCAATCCTGAACCATATCAAGAAAGTCACTAGACTCAAGATTTCCTGTCATATTGTTCCAGTCAGTTTGTCTAAAGTTAAAATCTCCCATTATAACAACATTTTCATATCTAGATGCCTTATGAATTTCGTCCCATAACAGCTTACTGCCCTCCCTATCAAGGTTTGGGGGCCTATAAATCACACCCAAAATTAATTTGTCATGTCCCTCGAGAAACTGTAGCCAAACAGATTCAGTGTTTAATGTCTCTAATCTTATATCATGTCTAAGACAACAATTTAAATTTTCTCTGACATACATCACCACCCCACCACCCTTCCTGTTGACCCTGTCAGTGTGGAATAGCTTATAACCCTGTATGTTGCATTCAGAAGGCATGTCTCTTTCAGGTTGAACCAGGTCTCTGTTATACCAATAATATCTATATTACCTACACTTGCAAGTAATCTTACCTCATCTATCTTATTTCTTAGACTCCTACTATTTGTATAGTAAACTTTAAGGGAGCTAGTCACACGTTGCCCTCTACTATCCTTCTTTGTTTGTTGATCAATTTATTTGCCTTTACTAGCAACTTTATTTTGAATATTGTCTTTTAAACATATCCCTGAGGTATCCCGGTAATAACTGCTGTTTTTAACCCTAATGCTGCAGCCTGATTGTTTCCCACAAACACCCATACCTCTGTAATCTATCAGTTTAAATTTCTAGACAAGTCATCAATTACCCTCTCAATTGATTGGCTAATGCAACCACTCCATCCCCAGAGAGATGAACCCCATCCCTTGCATACATATCACGTTTGTCAAAGAATAGGTCCCAGTTATCAATGAATGGGATTGCAAGTTCCTTGCAGTACCTGTCTAGCCAGCAATTTATACCAATTGCCCTAGACATCCATTCATTGCCCACTCCCTTTCTAGGCAAGATGCTACATATGACTGGGATTCCTCCCTTAGACCTAACTACTTCTATGGCTGACCTGTACATATCCAGCAGCTCCTGTCTCCTGCCCTTCCCAATGTCATTACCCCCAGCACTAAGACAGGTAATGGGCTTGTTCCCATTACCTGCCATAATATTATCCAACCTGCTGACTATGTCACCAATACCAGCTCCAGGAAGACACACTCTCTGTCTGACCTTCCTGTCTCTGTTACAAAATGCACGGTCCATATATCTTACCTGAGAATCGCCTACTATTAAAATATTCTTACCTTGATTAGCAGGGGAATCAGTGGTACCTTCAATCTCACTAACCACTGAAGTACACTCGTCTTGGAGAACAGAGAATCGATTTCCTCCCTTCACATCTTCTCCATTAACTCTCCTCATCTTCCTTCTTCCTGAACTGTGAACCACTTGCCACTTAAAGCGGCTGCCACCATCACTGCTGGTGACCATTTCCTCCTTACCAGCTAAATCCTAATCACACTCACTCCCAGACTCATCTATGCGAAGCTTCAGCCTCCTATTTTCCTCCTGAAGAAGTAGAATCTCCTTCTTCAACACTTGAACCTGAGATTCTAAAACACTACAACAAGCCATGGTGCTTGGTAACAGCCCACGCTAACTCCCAAGAGCTTAGGCAGGTAGGACCGCAGGTGACCACTGACCTCAGCGTAATAACACTTCTGCTTTGTAATTACCTCTCATAAGCTAACTTTTTCTCTTTTATCATCATTCCACCAATGACTCCTTTTTCCTCCTGCACCCACCCTCTTATAACTGTAAACTTCTGCCCCACATTCTAATACTGCATTTTTAAAACTATTCCAACCCTCTTAAGCCCCCCCACTACTCATACCTGCACCAGCCCACCTTTCTGCCAATAGTTGCTTATATGTCACCCTAAATTCCTCCTCCCTTAGTTTATACACTTTCACCCCCCTCTTACTTGTTGTTGCCATTTTCCTCTTATCCCATCTACTTCTTACTCTAACTGTAGCTACAACTAGATAATGATCCGATATATCAGTTGCCCCTTTATAAACGTGTACATCCTGGAGCCTTCCCATCAACCTTTTATCCACCAATACATAATCTAACAAACTACTTTCATTATATGCTACATCATACCTTGTATATTTATTTATCCTCTTTTTCATAAAATATGTATTACTTATTACCAAACCTCTTTCTGCACATAGCTCAAATAAAGATTACCCATTTTCATTTACCCCTGGCACCCCAAATTTACCTACTACTCCCTCCACAATATTTTTACCCCCTTTAGCATTAAAATCCCCAACCACCATTACTCTCACACTTGGTTCAAAACTCCCTACGCATTCACTCAACATTTCCCAAAATCTCTCTCTCTCCTCTATACTTCTGTCTTCCTCAGGTGCTTATACGCTTACTATAACCCACTTCTCACATCCAACCTTTATTTTACTCCATATAATCCTTGAATTAATACATTTATAGTCCCTCTTTTCCTGCCATAGCTTATTCTTCAACATTATTGCTACTACTCCTTTAGCTCTAACTCTATTAGAAACCCCTGACCTAATCCCATTTATTCCTCTCCACTGAAAGTCACCCATCAACTTCAGCTTTGTTTCACTTAAAGCCAGGATATCCAGCTTCTTCTCATTCATAACATCCACAATCATCTCTTTCTTATTCGCTCAACATCCACGCACATTCAGACTTACCACTTTGACTATTTTCTTATTTTTTTTAGTAATTATTACAGGAAAAGGGGTTACTAGCCCATTGTTTCAGGCATTTTAGTTGACTTTTACAACACGCATGGCTTACGGAGGAAAGATTCTTATTCCACTTTTCCATGAATATGAAAGGAAAAGTAATTAGAACAAGAACTAAGATAAAATCAAAGAAAACTCAGATGAGTGTGTATAAATTAACGTGTACATGTATGTGTAGTGTGACCTAAGTGTAAGTAGAAGTAGCAAGACGTACCTGTAATCTTGCATATTTATGAGACAGACAAGACACCAGCAATCCTACCATCATGTAAAACAATTACAGACATTCGTTTTACACTCACTTGGCAGGACGGTAGTACCTCCCTGGGTGGTTGCTGTCTACCAACCTACTACCTACAGATATTTATATTTATTATATGGTTTATTATGTCATATTAGATCAATTGTGATAGACAAATAAGCTGTACAGTTGATAATAACATCATATTGAGGTACTATTTTGTCATGCCTCATGACAGCAGGAACAGATTAATTGGATTTACATTATTTCTTATGGGAAATATTGTTTCGGCTTTAAGACGTTTCGACTTTAGTAATAATCCTGGAATGGATTAAGGATGAAACTCGGGGTTCCCCTGTAATTCAATATTTTTAATATCTAATAGTCATAATTTTATTATTATTATTATTATTGTTATTATTAGCTGTTACAAATATTGAATATAATTATCTCATTTAATATAAAAATATTTTTATTGCCTTTTACTTTTTATTTTTATAAATGTTGAATTACTATTGTCTCTTAATATTTATAAGAATTAATAATAATAATAATAAAGGGAAACCGTTTTAATAAAAGGCAGATAATTTTAATTCAAAATTAATAATAATAATAATAATAATTTAAGAGCTAATAATAATTCAATATTTATAATAAAGTATTAAGATTATGGTTAGTGTTTGTGAAGGTGACGGAGGTGATGGAGGCACTGGAGTCGTCCTCCACTCTGGTATTTCTTGACCTAGCCTGGCCTGGATCACCCAGACAAAGAGTGCACATCCAGGTGAATACTGACACCATGATGGCCAGACAGTTTCTGTTGTTGTGCACTGGACAGCAGCAGCAGTCAGGCTCTTCCTCAACACTAAACTGTTGAAGGTGTGGCACAAGGATGAGCCAGGGAAGCATGTGATGGGTGGAGACTACCAGTACAATAATGTTGAGGGAGGAGCACCACTGCTGCCTCACCAGCGTGGTCACAAGTACAAGAAGTCAGGCAGTGCTGGTGCTGTGTTGTCATGGTATGACCCATGGAGTAACAAGAGTGCACAGTTCTGTATCATCACCAGGAACCTCACAGATGGTCTCGAGTGGTCCAGTGTCTTTGGTAAGGTGGTGAGAGGCATGGAAGTGGTGAGAGCAGCAGTCAACCACAGGGACATCACAGAGGTGACTGTTGTGGACTGTGGTGTTTTGATGTCTCTCTAGTTCACTGTATCATCACTATTGTGTGTCACTATCATTGCTGTATATCACCATCAATACACTGAAGCCACATTCACTGCAGTGGTGTGTCACCATCGCTAGAGTCGTGTTTCACCATAACTGAAGTGGAATGTCACTATCAGTACAGGTCTCACCATCACTTGAGTAGTGTCACTACAGAGGTGTTACCATAAGTACAGTGTTGTGACCACTACAGTGGTGTCACTATGGAGGTGCCACCATGAGTACTGTGTTGTGGCCACTGTTACGCGCCCCTCCTTCACACTCTATTATATACAAAAATAAAAGGCCTGGTTAAAATAAGTTCTGTAATAATATATCGCGAACCACTTCATTACTAGCTAGATAAAGCAGGTTCGACTATATATTATTATCGGGTACAGTATGAATCATCAAAAGTACTCTCATTGTATTATATTGTATTATATTATATTATTATATTAGGTTAGGTATTACGAATATGTAACCACTACTGTAGTGACCAATTGGTGGTTCCAGAATTGACGCCACGCGTCGCCTTCTGGCCGAGCTGAAGTCAGACTATGGAGTAGTTGAGCGGGGCAGTCAGCTCCTAGCTCTGACTCGGTACGGGTCTTCAACCCAAAGCTCTTAGCTTAAACTAAAACTGTAAACCAAGTCTATTGTCTTGCCTATGCCATTAATTTCCTGAAGTCTGGTATTTCATGTCTCTTATGAAAGATAACTATTTCGTCATCCTAGACCTTTCTAAAAGCGATGCTGTATAGTCCTTGTGGCTTAGCGCTTCTTTTTGATTATAATAATAATCTAAAAGCGATGAATGGTGAAATTAGTGGATTATCAATTGAAATTATTGTATCATACTCTGTTAATAAGAATTTGAACGTAAGATTAGGTTTCTTGCTATATAGTATTTCATTTATAATTGCTTGTGGCTATTTGAATTCACTAACCAAGTACGAATGAAACTAAATGATTGGTAATAAAATAAAACTAACAAAAAAAAAAAAAAAGTTATTTGCGCCTCTGTTGTTACGGTGAAGATTAAGTCGTAACAACCACTGCAGTCATGTCACCATCACTACAGAGGGGTCACTGCAGTGATCTCACCATAAGTACTGTGTTGCGACCACTACAGTGGTGTTCACTACAGAGGTATCACCATCAGGACAGTGGTGGCACAGTCACAACATTGCTGTCATCAGTTTTAAAGTAATTTATTCGTAACTGACCAATTCTTCATTTGTAACTTGCATCATTGCACTTATGATTGTAATGTCCCGACTTAAAGTATGTATTAAGTCTAAATATGTCCTTAGGCAAATAGATAAATTAAAACCTAACAAATCCCCAGGCCCTGATGAACTGTATGCAAGGGTTCTAAAGGAATGTAAAGAGGAGCTTAGCACACCTTTGGCTAATCTTTTCAACATATCACTACAAACTGGCATGCTGCCAGGTAAGTGGAAAATGGCAAATGTGATACCTATTTTCAAAACAGGTGACAGGTCCTTAGCTTCGAACTATAGACCAATAAGCCTAACCTCCATAGTGGGGAAATTTATGGAATCAATAATTGCCGAGGCAGTTAGTAGCCACCTTGAAAAGCATAAATTAATCAACGAATCTCAGCATGGTTTTACAAAGGGGCGTTCCTGCCTTACGAATTTATTAACTTTTTTCACAAAGGTATTTGAGGAGGTAGATCATGGTAATGAATATGATATTGTGTATATGGACTTCAGTAAGGCTTTCGACAGGTCCCACATCAGAGAATATTGAGGAAAATTAAAGCACATGGAATAGGAGGAGAAATTTTTCCTGGATAGAGGCATGGTTGACAAATAGGCAGCAGAGAGTTTGCATAAATGGGGAGAAATCAGAGTGAGGAAGCGTCACGAGCGGTGTTCCACAGGGGTCAGTGTTGGGCCCCCTGCTGTTCACAATCTACATAAACGACATAGATGAGGGCATAAAGAGCGACATCGGCAAGTTTGCCGATGACACCAAAATAGGCCTTTCGAATTCATTCTGACGAGGACATTCGAGCACTCCAGGAAGATTTTGAATAGACTGATGCAGTGGTGGGAGAAGTGGCAGATGCAGTTTAATATAGACAAATGCAAAGTTCTAAATGTTGGACAGGACAATAACCATGCCACATACAAACTAAATAATGTAGATCTTAATATTACGGATTGCGAAAAAGAGTTTAGGAGTTCTGGTTAGCAGTAATCTGAAACCAAGACAACAGTGCATAAGTGTTCGCAACAAAGCTAATAGAATCCTTGGCTTCATATCAAGAAGCATAAATAATAGGAGTCCTCAGGTTGTTCTTCAACTCTATACATCCTTGGTTAGGCCTCATTTAGATTATGCTGCACAGTTTTGGTCACCGTATTACAGAATGGATATAAATGCTCTGGAAAATGTACAAAGGAGGATGACAAAGTTGATCCCATGTATCAGAAACCTTCCCTATGAGGATAGACTAAGGGTCCTGAATCTGCACTCTCTAGAAAGACGTAGAATTAGGGGGGATATGATTGAGGTGTATAAATGGAAGACAGGAATAAATAAAGGGGATGTAAATAGTGTGCTGAAAATATCTAGCCTAGACAGGACTCGCAGCAATGGTTTTAAGTTGGAAAAATTCAAATTCAGGAAGGATATAGGAAAGTACTGGTTTGGTAATAGAGTTGTGGATGAGTGGAACAAACTCCCGAGTGCAGTTATAGAGGCCAGAACGTTGTGTAGCTTTAAAAATAGGTTGGATAAATACATGAGTGGGTATGGGTGGGTGTGAGTTGGTCCTGATTAGCTTGTTCTACTAGGTCAGTTGCCGTGTTCCTCCCTTAAGTCAATGTGACCTGACCTGACTAGGTTGGGTGCATTGGCTTAATCCGGTAGGAGACTTGGACCTGCCTCGCATGGGCCAGTAGGCCTTCTGCAGTGTTCCTTCGTTCTTATGTTCTTATAAGTAATATGCATATCATTTCGAATGTGTAATTGCTCTAATTTGTATTGCTCATAAAACACTTCATTTTTTTTACTTTTAATTTTTATACTAGGTATTGTCAGCAAATCAGTTAGTAGGTTCGTAGACAGCAACCACCCAGGGATGTACTACTGTCCTGCCAAGTGAGTGTGAAACGGAAACTCGCAATTGTTTTATAAGACAGTAGGAATGCTGGAGTCTTTTCTCTGTCTTATAAACATGCAGGACACCAGGAATATCTTTTATTTACACTTAGGTCACACAACACATGCATGTACATAGATATATATACATACATACCCCTCTAGGTTTTCTTCTACTTCTTAATAAATCTTGTTCTTGTTTCTTTCCTCTTATCTGTATGGGAAGTGGAACAGAATTCTTCCTCTGTAAGCCATGTGTGTCGTAGGAGGTGACTAAAATGCTCGCAGCAAGGGGCTAGTAAGCTCTTCTCCTGTTTAAATTACTAAATTTAAAAAGAAAATCTATCGCTTTTCTTTTCAGGTCACTTTGCCTTGGTGGGATACGGTCGGTTTGTTAAAAAAAATCAGCAAGTATGTACAGTATAGCACAGAATTTTAATTTTGAGCACGAATGAACTAGAGCATTGTAAGTGTTGCAGAAGGATGACAATAATCAGTTTTATGTTAGTTACACCTTTCTAGTTTCCCCCCCTATCTCTTACAACAAAAAAATAATTGTTGGAAAAAGACAAAATGTAAACATTGGGACATTTTATTGGAAAAATTTTGTCTTGAGGCCTTTGTTACTCCACAGTGTTCTAGTGTTAATAATGGTCTTGAGACCTTTGTTACTCCACAATGTTCTAGTGTTCATTATAATCTTGATACCTTTGTTATTCTACAGTGTTCTAGTGTTCATTATGGTCTTGAGACCTTTGTTACTCCAGTGTTCTAGTGTTCATTATGGTCTTGAGACCTTGGTTATTACAGTGTCATTATGGACTTGAAACCTTTGTTACTCCACAGTGTTCTAGTGAGACCATAAGTAATTATGGTCTCAAAGCCTCGGTTACTCTACAGTGTTCTAGTGTTCATTATCTTTTTGACACCTTGGTTACTCTACAGTGTTCCAGTGTTCATTATGATCTTGAGGCCTTGGTTACTCCAGAGTATCCTAGTGTCCATTATGGTCTCGAGACCTTGGTTACCCCAGAGTATCCTAGTGTTCATTACGCTCATGAGACCTTGGTTACTCCAGAGTGTTCATTATGGTCTTGAGACTTTGGATACTGAACAGTGTTCTAGTGTTCATTATGGTCTTGAGACCTTGGTTACTGTACAGTGTTTCAGTGTTCAATATGGTCGTGAGAACTCTGGTTACTCTACAGTATTCTAGTGTTCATTATGTTCTTGAGACTTAGATTACTCTAGAGTGTTTTGGTGTTCATTTTGGTCTTGAGACCTTGGTTACTCTACAGTGTTTTGGTGTTCATTATGGTCTTGAGACATTGGTTACTCTACATTGTTCTAGTGTTCATTATGGTCTTGAGACCTTGGTTACTCTACAGTGTTCTAGTGCTCATTATGGTCTTGAAACATTGGTTACTCTACAGTGTTCTGGTGCTCATTATGGTCTTGAGACCTTGGTTACTCTAAAGTGTTTTGGTGTTCATTTTTGTCTTGAGACCTTGGTTACTCTACAGCGTTCTGGTGTTCATTATGGTCTTGAGACCTTGGTTCCTCTACAGTGTTCTAGTGTTCATTATGGTCTTGAGACTTTGGTTATTCCATGGTGTCATTATGGTCTTGAGACCTTTGTTACTCCACAATGTTCTAGTGTTCCTTATGGTCTTGAGAACTTTGTTACTCTACGGTGTTCTAGTGTTCATTATGGCCTTGAGACCTTTGTTACTTCACAATGTTCTAATGTTCATTATGGTCTTGAGACCTTGGTTATTCCAGTGTCATTATGATCTTGAGACCTTTCTTACTCCAGTTTTCTAGTGTTCATTATGGTCATGAGACCTTTGTTACTCTACAGTCTTCTAGTGGTCATTATGGTCTTGAGACCTTGGTTATTCCACAGTGTCATTATGGACTTGAGACCTTTGTTACTCCCCAGTGTTCTAATGTTCATTATGGTCTCAAGGCCTCGGTTACTCTACAGTGTTCTAGTGTTCATTATCTTCTTGACACCTTGGTTACTGTACAGTGTTCTAGTGTTCATTATGGTCTTGAGACCTTGGTTACTGTACAGTGTTCTAGTGTTCATTATGGCCTTGAGAGCTTGGTTACTCTACAGTGTTCTCGTGCTCATTACGGTCATGAGACCTTGGTTGCTCTACAGTGTTCTAGTGTGCATTATGGTCTTGAGACCTTGGTTACTGCACAGTGTTCTAGCGTTTATTTTGGTCTTGAGACCTTGGTTACCCCAGAGTATCCTAGTGTTCATTACGCTCATGAGACCTTGGTTACTCCAGAGTGTTCATTATGGTCTTGAGACTTTGGTTACTGAACAATGTTCTAGTGTTCATTATGGTCTTGAGACCTTGGTTACTGTACAGTGTTTCAGTGTTCAATATGGTCTTGAGAACTCTGGTTACTCTACAGTATTCTAGTGTTCATTATGTTCCTGAGACTTAGATTACTCTAGAGTGTTTTGGTGTTCATTTTGGTCTTGAGACCTTGGTTACTCTACAGCGTTCTGGTGTTCATTACGGTCCTGAGTCCTTACTCTATGGTGTTCTGGTGTTCATTATGGTCTTGAGACCTTGGTTACTCTACAGTGTTCTAGTGCTCATTATGGTCTTGAGACCTTTGTTACTCCACAATGTTCTGTTCATTATGGTCTTGAGACCTTGGTTACTCTACAGTGTTCTAGTGCTCATTATGGTCTTGAGACATAGGTTACTCTACGGTGTTCTGGTGTTCATTATGGTCTTGAGACCTTGGTTACTCTACAGTGTTCTAGTGCTCATTATGGTCTTAGACCTTTGTTACTCCACAATGTTCTGTTCATTATGGTCTTGAGACCTTGGTTACTCTACAGTGTTCTAGTGTTCATTATGGTCTTGTGACCTCGGTTACTCTACAGCGTTCTGGTGTTCATTATGGTCTTGAGACTATGGTTACTCTACAGTGTTCTAGTGTTCATTATGGTCTTGAGACTTTGGTTATTCCACAGTGTCATTATGGTCTTGAGACCTTTGTTACTCCACAATGTTCTAGTGTTCCTTAAGGTCTTGAGACCTTTGTTATTCTACAGTGTTCTAGTGTTATTTATGGCCTTGAGACCTTTGTTACTTCACAATGTTCTAGTGTTCATTATGGTCTTGAGACATTTTTTATTCTACAGTGCTCTAGTGTTCATTATGGTCTTGAGACCTTAGTTATTCCACAGTGTCATTATGGACTTGAGACCTTTGTTACTCCTCAAGGTTCTAATGTTCATTATGGTCTCAAGGCCTCGGTTACTGTACAGTGTTCTATTGTTCATTATCTTCTTGACACCTTGGTTACTGTGCAGTGTTCTAGTGTTCATTATGGTCTTGAGAGCTTGGTTACTCTACAGTGTTCTCGTGCTCATTACGGTCATGAGGCCTTGGTTAATGTACAGTGTTTTAATTTTCATTATGGTCTTGAGATTTTGGTTACTCTACAGTGTTCTGGTGT